TTGGTACGGAAGTCATCAGCAGCCAGACGGGCATTGTCGATCTGCAGCAGGATGTTGGCGTTGTCCACGGTGGCCGTGAGGATCTGGGGAGAAGGGAGGATGGTCAGATCACTGGGTAGGGGCAGTTCAGCCCAGTCCGAGGGCCTGAGATGGGTCTGCCAGCCTGGAGGCCGGGAGGGCTGTCTTCTCCAGAAAGGCCCCCTCCCTGCACAGTGTCTCCCCTCCGCTGCGCTGTTGTAACTGTTGGCGAAGTTCAGGCGGGCAGGAGCCTGATGCGCTGAAACTTGCCTCCTGTTCCCCCGGGACCTGCCTCCCCCCAGCACAGACCCCGTGCCGGGCTCTGCTCAAAACCAGAGCAGGCAGCCCAGGGGGTCCTCAGGCTGGGGATTCCAGCGAGCCAGAGAATGGGAGGGTGCCCCAGGACAGAAGCTGTCCCAGAATCCCAGAAAACAGAAGGCATGTGGGCAACCCCCACATTTTACAGTTGGGGAGACGGTGCCCCTGAAGGTCTCCCCCAAAAGGCAGGCTAAAGGAGTCCTCACTAAAGCGCATTTTCAAACTGGAAGTGATAACTCCTGCTAAGCCTCCCCCTGGGGCGCCAGCAGGCATCCCCACCCTTGAGAGCAGCAGGAGGATGGGGAAGCCAGAAAAATCCCCGAATAAGGCTCACCAGAGGCGTCCTGAGGCCCCGCCCCTGCTCTCCTGTCTCCACCTCCCAGCAGGTGCCACCGGGCACTCTCTCAGCCCCCTTGCCCCCCTCTGGCCCAGATTCCCCCTCTTGCTTCCAGGAGAGAGGGGTCCACATACATGGCAGCATCATGAGCCCAGCCCAGCCCTTCACGTGTGTCCCTCTGCCATATCCGATCACGGTACAAGGTGGCAAGCAGCTCTGTGATGGGGACACGGAGCCTGAACAGAGTTCCGTGAGGCCCGCTTGTCCCCGGCCCAGCCTGCGGCCCCGGGACACGGGCGGATGAGCCACAGGGCAGCCCCACGGTGGGCTCCCAGAGGCCGTGTGGGGCCACGCGGTTCTCGGCTCCCTGAAGCCCCGTGGCAGCCCCCGGGCTGGACCCCAGGTTTGGGCAGAGGAGTCAGGGTCCCCACGGGCCCCCGCCCCCCAGCAAGCCCCACCTTGCTCTTCAGGTCCTCGATGGTCTGGTAGTAGTGGCTGTAGTCTCGGGCGGGCCCCGGGGCCTGCTTCTGGTACCAGTCCCGGATCTTCACCTCCAGCTCACTGTTGGCCTGCTCCAGGGCGCGCACCTTGTCCAGGTAGGAGGCCAGGCGGTCGTTGAGGTTCTGCATGGTGGCCTTCTCACCGCCCGCCAGCAGCCCGTCAACGCCCCCGAAGCCGCCGCCATAGCCGCCGCCGCCGGAGCCGAAGCTGTAGCAGCTAGAGTAGCTGCTGCCCCCGAGGGCACTGCCCAGGCCACTGGCAGACCCCAGCCTGCAGGAGCCCGCGCCCAGGCTCCCCGACAGCCGGCAGGAGGTGCGGGAGCCGCCCCCCAGGCCGGAGGAGCCCTTGATGGAGCTGGAGGAGGTGAACTGGCGGATGGTGGTGGTCATGGTGGTGGTGGTGGTGGTGGTGGTGGCAGCGGGTGGCGGACGGGCACAGTGCGAGGGGTTCAGAGAAGCCTCAGGTGCGTGTTGCTGCCGGGGCACACCTGCCTCCTTTATAGGCAGACAAGTGGGCGGGCGTGGCGGTTGCAACAGGCTCGCTCCTCTGTTTCCATTCCCCTGGGCTTTCATCACCCCTGGAGGCCCGCCAGCTCCCAGGTGGCTGCGGGCCCCCTCCCCTCCCACCAGCGGGGCTTCGCCTCACTTCTCCGAACCCCCGCGCTGGGCGTCTGCGTGTGCGTGTGTGTCCCTGGTCCCAAGCCTGTCACCTGTGATTCAGGCAGGCCCTCCAGCTACGCTTTCCCATGACCTAATACGGAGAAGAGGAGAGGCCGGACGTCACCGCCGCCGAGCCCTCCCCAGCGGCTGCCACCCCAGCCCTGCCAGCCGGGCCCCCGCATCAGGTGGGGAGATGGTGGGGAACCCAGCAGCCCTCCCCCCCGGCCTGGGGTTACTGCCCTTCAGCACCCACCACACCCCACGCCCTGGCCCTGGGCTGGGTGCTGGGGAGACAGCGAGGACCGGGTCCTCGTCCCACCCTGGAGACTAGACCGAAACCACACAACGCAGTGATGTACGCTGTCAGGTCTCCAGTGACCACCCCATTTTATCAGTAAGGAAGCGGGGGCTTGAGCAGGATAGGGCCCCCCAGCACCTGCAGACCTGAGCTGACAGGGCCTCACATCTCGTCCCACCACAGCAGACCCCACCCTCGGGGGGCTCCCAGCACACAGGCCCCCTCTGCGCAGCCCTCACACCAGGGAAGCCCTCCGGGGCCCACAACCCCACCTGGCCAGTCTTCCGACCCACCCCACCCCTGGGACTCCCTGGTGACCCGGCCGACCCTTTCCCCACCCCCTCTGACAGGCGGGGGTTCCGGGTGTGGGTGCCCAACGAGGAGCCCAGCTACAGGATGGAGGAGTGAGAGCCGGCAGAGAAGCGCCAGGGTGCAGGGGAAGTGGGAGAACCGAAGACCATGCTCCCCTCCACCGTCCCTAGCACTCCTGGACCCCAGAGGCCTCAGGGCGAGGTGAGGGGCACAGACTGTAGGTCCCAGCCTAAGGACGCTGCTCAAGAAGGGTGTCTTCCCGAGACCCCCCCCAGCCATTCCCACCCCACCACACACACACATGGCCTTGCCCAGACACCCCCCTGAGACGGACCCAGGAGGGACCCTGAGACACCCTATGGCTCCACCCTGCCCTGCCCACCACCCCCAGCCCGGCCTGGGTCCCGGGGTCCCTCCCAGCAGGCTCCTGGGTGGAACATAGTCGTGTCTCAGACTGCCGGTGGCTTCCACTTCCCAGGCAGGCCCAGACAGCCCCCGCCAGCAGCCGAGAGATTCCCCAACAGCCCGGCAGCTGCCAAGCCGCCAAAGCAAACAGGACGCCCCCCACGCTGACAGACAGAGCAGCCAGCCACCCCACCCCACCCCCCACACACCCCCGGCTTGGGCAGGGCCGGTCTGGTTTCCTGGGCTGGTGTGCTGCTGCCGCCCACCCCCTCTGGCCCGTCCACGCCCCGGACCCTCCTTAGGAAAGCCCCCTGATCGGCCTCTCTCCTCCAGGCCTGCGCGGGCCAAGGCGGGAGTTTCCTATGGTAGGCATAGCTCCTTGGAAAAGCTAAGGGCCCTCCCAGGGACCAGCCAAAGGCAAAGAGGCCCCAGGGGCTGACTCTTAGAAACTTTCCCAGCTTGATGGGCTGCCCCGTGCCCCCTCCCCCGAGTCCTCCTGCCCCATTCCCTCTCACCCTCCCAGGAGCCCCGGGCCTGACAAGAGTGGGTAGAGCGGGCTGGCAGGTGACAAGTGCCACCCAGATATTTAACAAACTCTCCTCCTCCCCATCCCACACTCAGCCCACACTGCCCCGAGCGCCAATGACCACACCAGATCACACTTGAACTTCAGGCAAAGCTTTAATAGCAGTCACCGGGGCAAACTCGGGAGGCCCCCTCTGCTGGGGGGCGGGGGGGCGGTGCGGGAAGCAGCTACAGAAAGGCAACGGCTCTCGCGCAGCGGCCCAGGCGGGCACCCGGGGCTCGGCAGCAGCAGCGTGCTAGGAGCTGGCCGCGATGGCTGCCCCGCGGCCTTCAAGGCTGGGCCCTCGCCAGTGGGAGGGGCCCTCAGTGGGTAGAGCGGTGGACCTGCTCCCGGGAGGAGACCACCTTGCCGTCCTGGACTTCCTCCACAATGGTGCGCACCTGGCGGCTGGTCACCGTGGCTGCAGATGGCAGAGCAGGGCGGGGGGCGTGCGGGGGCACCTCAGACCGGGGTCCCTCCTCCAGTCTCCCACACAGAAGGGTCCTCAGACTCTCCCACACCCTCTGGGTAGCATGAGGCAGACTCTTACCTTCCCGGGTGGGCTGTGAGGCCAGGGACGAGGAGTACTGGCTGGCCAGGCTGCGGGAAGGGAAAGGGGGGGGCCTGTCAGCCTAGGGCTCTGCCTGGGAGCCCAGGCCCCTGAGCGGAGAGGCAGCTGGGGAGGCTTGGGGCGGGAGGTGCCAGCCACTCAGACAAATCCCAGCTGGGAGAGTGTGGAGGAGAATGGCGACCACAAGGGTTGAGGGGCACAGGCCTGTGGGCAGATGTAGGGAAGAGGACACCCCCGTGGGAGGCCCAGAGGTACTTCGCAGCTAACCAGGGACTCACAAGGATTGGTCTTTCCGTACCTAACAGGGCCTAACAAACAGACTCAAAGCAAGAGAGACTGGGGTTAGACTACAGGTGGACTTCACCGTCTTGGGGGAACAAAAGAGCCGGAGTGCGTGACTAAGCCTGGAGACTCAGACTCAGGATATTCCCAGCCCTTTCTCGGCAGGGCCCCCACCCACCCTCCTAACTCCAAACCAGGCCGCCACCCTGCTCCTCATCCCGTCCTGGGTAATGACATCACCAGCTCCAAGTCATCAGGACCAGAAACCCAGGGTCATCATCACCCAGGCCTTCACGTGCTCACTCAACACTCAGCTGAGTGCCCCCCTGAGCCCCGCCAGCCCCCACATCCGGGCCTTTCCCTGCCACCGCCCCTGCCTCTCTGCAGGCCTGCCCCAGGCCCTGCTCTAGCCTCCCAACAGGTGCGCCGGGCCCAGGCTGGCCTTGCTGACGCATTTCTCCCTTCGCAGGCAGAGCAATGTTCTGTGACATCGATCATATCCATCCTGTGCAAAACCCCCCCACCCAGCACCCCGAGGCCCACGCCATCTAGTCCCGTGCTTTCACGCGGGCTTCAGCACTCCTCGCGCCTGACCCCAGCCAGTGACCTGGGTCTGGGCCCCTGCAAGCCTCGCGGCTCCTCCCAGCATTGCTGGTGCCTGGGCTGCAGCTGGCGCGTCCCTCCCTGGGTAAAGCGGCCCCAGCGCACTTGCGCAGATGCCCAGGCGCCCCCACTCACTGGGCGTCCTCGCCCTCCAGCAGGCGGCGGTAGGTGGCGATCTCCTGCTCCAGCCGCGTCTTCACGTCCAGCAGGATCTGGTACTCGTGGTTCTGACGCTCCATGTCACAGCGCAGCTCGGCCAGCTGCTGCTCGATGCTGCCGATGAGCCCCTGCAGCTGGGCCAGCTGGGCCCCGTAGCGCGCCTCGGTCTCCGCCAGGCTGCCCTCCAGCGATGCTTTCTGTGGGCCAGGGTGTCGGTGAACCAGTGAACCCAGGGTGGGACTCTTCCCCACCCAGAGGGGAACCCTGCTGCGGTGGGTTGTGGGGGCAGCCAGCGCGGTGGGGGGGGGTAACTAGGGCTGAGAGGGGTGCGTGTCGCTGGTTCTCCCAGTGGGGGGTCTACGAGGCTGAGCCCACTCTGGGATGACGGGGACAGGGCAGGGAGGGGGCGGAAGCCCTACCATGCTGAGCTGGGACTGCAGCTCGATCTCCAGGTTCTGCACGGAACGGCGGAGCTCGGTGATCTCCGTCCTGCCGCTCTGCAGGGCCTCGGTGTTGGTGGCCACCTCGCGGTTCAGCTCCTCCGTCTGAAAGTAGGGCCGGCCCCTGGGGCTTGAGGAGGCTTGTGGGGGTGGGGCAGAGGACAAGGGCCACTCCCCCAAGCCCTGACCTCCCAGACTTGCTCTCCCAGCACATGGCCGGCCTCTGCGGGGCCCCAAACACCCCTGCACCCACAGACACCCTCTGTGCCCACACGGAACCGTAGTGGAATCACTCCGCCGTCCTGAGCGGCAAGCACTGCTCGAAGATGGGCCCTGGGTTTAATTCTATCTGTTCCTGTCGCTGCCCCGGGGGGCTGTAGTGGCTCAGTGCATGTTCTCTGGGGTATGTGTCATGCATCCAAACGCACGCATCTCAAAGGCCTGCGCAGGAGAAGCCCTCGCTGTGGGTGAGGGGACCCGGACCTGCTCCCCAGGCCACAGCGGAGGGCTGTGTGAGCCGAAGGCCTCTCTGAGCCTCACAGTCTGCACCCAAACACGAGGGCTGGTCCAGCTTGTTTCCGAAGGTCCTTCCAGCTGGGACCCGCTGCGGCGCTCCACATTTTCCAGCCCATTACTCAGCACTCGGCAGGCACATGCACGCACACGTGCGCGCACACCTGCTCGCTCACGGCCACCCACCTTGCTGAAGAACCAGTCCTCGGCGTCCTTGCGGTTCTTCTCCGCGATCTTCTCGTACTGGTCGCGCATCTCGTTGAGGATGCGGCTCAGGTCCACGCCGGGGGCGGCGTCCATCTCCACGTTGACGTCCCCGCCCACCTGGCCCCGCAGGGCGTTCATTTCCTGGGCAGAGAGGAGAGCGGGAGCTCACCCACGGCCACCCGGGGGGAGACCCTGAGGCCTGCCTTCTCCACCTTGGGAAGGCAGGTGCTGATAACAGACAGACAGACAGACAGACAGACACAGGCAGGCCAGCAGCTCCTCACGCTGAAGGTGGAAGCAGCTGTCACGTCTCAAATGTGCGGGCTGTGGATGTGAAACATCTTCCCCAACACACCCTCGGTGTCCGCCCCCACCGTGTGCTGGGGCAGCAGACATGGCCGCCCTCTGCCATGGCCGGGAGGACCCGGGACAGCCTCGCTCACCACGCTTGTCACCCACTGCCAACCCCACAGCACAGCAGGGGGCAGAAAGCAGCCCCGAGTCGACTGGGAAGACCAGACCTCTTAGGACACGCAGTCCCTGGGACCAGCCTCACAGCCGACTGGAGACACTTGCTGGGCTCCTGCTACCCCAGGACTGGGCTCCCCTAGCGCAGGCCAGCCCGGAGGCCTGCTGAGGAGGGAGCCCCGGGCTCCTCAGTCCCCCTGCAGGGCCTCAGGTGGAAAGTTCTCTGAAAAAGGAGGCGGGAGGGGTGGCAGAGCAGCAGATGTGGGTCAGACATTGGAGGGCAGCTGCCCGAGCAGCCTTGGAAAAGTCCCTCAACCCCTCCGAGCCTCAGTTTCTTCCCCGGTGAGGGGAGAACGAGCACCCTCCTCCCGGCGCTGGTGTCAGCACCAGCTGAAATGAACCACTGCTGTGACTCCCGTGTGCTGTGCTGGCTGGCTGTTTGCTGTTCTATCACCATGCAATTCACCGCGACCAGTAGCATGCACTAGACTGATTTGCTCCTTAGGTATTTAGCTGCCACCACACAAGGGGGCCATGCCTGAAGGGACATGGGAAGTATCCTACTTCTAAGGGTCACCCAGGCCAGCAGGGCCAGGCGCCCACCCTGGAGGGACACTGGATGCGGAGCGTGGCCCCAGCCCAGGACACTGTGGAGGCCGCAGCCTGGCTTGCTCCCAGGCACGTCTCTCCTGCATTCACTCCCACCATGGCCTCACCTCCTCGTGGTTCTTCCTCAGGTAGGCCAGCTCCTCCTTCAGGTTCTCGATCTGCATCTCCAGGTCGGCTCTGGCCAGGGTCAGCTCGTCCAGCACCCTGCGCAGGCCGTTGATGTCGGCCTCCACGCTCATGCGCAGGTTCAGCTCCGTCTCGTACCTGGCAGGGGCGGAGGCGTGAGCCACGGCGGAGGGCCACCGGGCCACTTCTCGTGCACACAGAGGGCTCTGTGGGTGCAGGGCCGGGCCCACCGCCAGCCGCCCCAGGGGCCCGACTCACTTGGTGCGGAAGTCATCGGCGGCCAGGCGGGCATTGTCGATCTGCAGCACCAGGCCGGCGTTGTCGATGGTGGCCGCCAGGATCTGGGGGGGGATGATGGGCTCCGTGAGCAGGCACCCTCAGCAGCCCCAGGAAGGCCCTGCAACACCCCTCGTGCAGCCCTTTGGAGAGTGTGCCAGAACGAAGGAAGGTCCTGTGGTGTGGTCTCCCCCTCTAAGGACCCTCCTGGGGGACTCACAGAGCAGTGGGGGCACCATGCCAGGAGAAAGACCCATATGTACCCTCAACCACCATGAGGTCACTCGCCCAAGCCACCTCATTCCCTCTTCCCTACCTAACTTTACCTCTCGACTCTGTTGCCACCACCTCCAGAAAGCCCTCCTGGATTCCCCACCGGGATCCCCCCTTCTGGACACACCTCCCTCCTTTGCCCTTCTCTCTTTCATGGCACTTCTCCCAAGTGCGATTTTTCCATGACGTTTTCGGTTATTTCCCCCTCCATGAACTCTGAGTTCTCGGGAACAAGGCCGCATCTGTCTCTCTCCCTTCAAAAGCCTCAGTCCTGGCTCCGGTCCTTGGGCCAGAGTTGGCCCCCGGGAAACACTTATGTGATTAATTAGCTAATTAACGAGGCTACAGCTCACCCGACCGCAAACCTAGAGCAAAGCTTTCTTTTTCCATGGAGTCATCAGGAGGTTTCAACGAGGACACGGAGACTCGCAAGGAGCTGGTTGTTATTACTGCTGCAGTCGTTGTCGCTGTGAGAAACGCCCGAGAGAGGCTCCCGTGGAGGGCCACGGGGCTGGGGGTGGAGATCGAGGCCCAGAGGGAGCAGACTAATGGGCTGGAATTTGGAACGTTCTCAGGCCAAGGGCTGAAGGGTAGGCGGTGGGAGAGGGGCGGCCCTGGCAGGCGCATCCTGGGTCTGGGCCCAGCTGGTCGCATCCCAGGCCGCAGTGGGTCCCTCCCACTCACCTGGCTGCTCGGGATGTTGGCTGAGCCTGGCCAGGGGCAGCTGCAAACACCCCCGAGGAGCTCAGTGACTCAGACGGGCAGAGGTCTGGCGCGGGGTGCACTGGGTGTTGGTGCTGCGGAACTGGCTGACCCCAGACAGAATCGGGGGCACACTGACTCACCTGGGCTCCCCCGGGTTCCCCGCTGCCCAGACAGAGCCCAGGTTCTGACCTGGCACTCCCCGCGGCTCTGCTTCCAGGGGGCAGTTGCAGGAGTTCCCTGCCTGGCCGAGGTCCTTGAAAAGCAGAGCCACGCCTGGCCCTCCACCAGGAGGTGGAGCAGGCCGGACCCTCAGGGGCCCAGCCGGCCCCACCCCTGCTCCCCCTAAGCCTGGCCCTCCGCTTCCCGTTGCCCCCTCCCCTGCCTCTGAGGGTGGCAAGGTGGGAGGGCCTTCCAGGGGTGGGTTTGTGCAGAAGACCCCAGGGCCACGCTCACGGAACGCCAAGGCCGTGTTCTTAGAGGTCACGAGTGTGTGAGAAAGAGGGCGGGAGAGAGTTGTCTCCTTCATCAGACTAAGAGACATTCCTTCCCTTAGGAGCTTTCCGTCTGAGTGGAAAGACACAGCTCCTTCCTACAGGGGCCCTCCCCCCAATCTGCAAGGATAGACTCGGCCTCCGGCCTCAGGGACCTCCAGAGGGACCACAATGGAGACTGGAGACGGTGAGGAGGACCCACAACAACAGCCGCCGTGAGAACGTGCCGAACAGGGAAATCGGCACCGTGAACAGGGCATAGGTTGAACTTCAAAGTGCTGAAGGGACCCCACGGTCTTGGGATAAGAGGCAAGTGGCGTCCCTCCAGGAGGACTGCCTGGAAGAGGTGAGGCAGACAGGCAGGCCGACCCAGAGGAGAACGGAACGTGGGAAGGAGATGCCCAGCCTCATCTCCCACAGTCCACGCCAAGCTCCGCCCTGCCTCTCTGCCTTGGCCCACGCTGTTCGCTGTACCTGGAGTGCCACCTGCGGCCTCCGGTGTTCTGACGCCTTCCCTGCTCGCTCCTCCACCACTCTGCTATGCGCCCCTCCCAGAAAGGGGGGATCCAAACACCCTCCCAGCACGGGACGATCCCCTGAGACCAGCGACTGGCACGGGGCTCGGTCCAGATCAAGTGAGAGAGTGACGGACACCCAAGACAGAAAGGCTGACAAAGGCCCAGAGTTGGGATGGAGCGAGCCAGAGCAGGCACTAAGGACGGAGGGCAGGAGGCAGGGAGCCGGCTGGCCCACGCACCTTGCTCTTCAGCTCCTCGATGGTCTTGAAGTACTGGCTGTAGTCGCGGGTGGGCTCGGGGCCCTGCTTCTTGTACCAGTCCCGGATCTTCAGCTCCAGGTCGGCGTTGGCCTCCTCCAGGGCGCGCACCTTCTCCAGGTAGGAGGCCAGGCGGTCGTTGAGGTTCTGCATGGTCTCCTTCTCACCGCCCCCCAGCAGGGCATCCGACACGCTGACGCTGGGGCTGTAGCCCCCACCCAGGTTGCAGGTGTAGCCCCCGCTGTAGCCGCCCCCCAAGCCCGAAGAGAAGCGGGACGAGGTCACCGACATGTTGCCACAGCTTCCGGCGCCCAGGAGGCTAGGGGCTCGGCAGGCGCCCCCAACACGGACCGTGGACACCCGAGAGAAGCCCCCCATGGGCACGGAGCTGGACGTTGAGAACTGGCGGATGCTGCTGGTGGTGGCAGCCATGGTGGCCACGGGTTGGGAGCAGTGTCTGGTCTGGACAGAGACCCTGGGCAGCCCTTTATAGCCAGGCTATAGCGGGGCTGGGCTGCTGGCCCTTGAAGTCAAAGCCAAAACCCCAGCCATGTAATCTGCTCCTGTATCAGCCGCCCAGGGCCTGGGGCTCAGGATGGACATGCTGACTGCATGCCCCCGCCCCCTCTCCTGGCCAGAGCCTAGCCTGGGCAGGTGCCCCTCTTAGAAGCCCATTGTTCAGAAACAAAGGTGGTGTTGGAGTTGCAGCCCCGGGGGTAGGGTGATCCTCCGTCCTCAGCAGCAATTAGCCTCTGAGCTCATTCTCCAGGATCTGGGGAACCCACCCAGCCCTGGCAGCCGGAAAGGGCCCAGAACAAGGCTCCACAGGCCTATGGCCTGCAGGCTGCTCTGGCCCCTGACCCAGCATTCCTGGTCCCCAGGGAGAGGGCGTGGAGGCTCAGAAAGCTGCCCTCACCAGGTCCAACGTGGCCCTGAAGAGCCCCCCAGGCTGAGAGGGAGGACCCGCCTCTGACCTGGGGAGCCTCCAGGTCTCTGGGGATCATCCCAAGTCTGCAGCCCTGGCCTGGGGAGTCCCTCATCTCAGGGACTAGACACAGTGCTGACCTGAAGGAGCTTTGGATCCAAGTCTCAACAGGAAGTCAATTCATGAGCCTCGGTTTCCTCACTTGCACAAGGGGGGTAATTACTGTCTCCCACAGTCCCTGAAGGAGTCTGGAGAACTAGTGACAGCAGTGACACTGGGGCTGACAATGAGGATGAAGCCAGAGGGTTGGGTGGATGCTTGGGCCCATCATCCCCCAGTACCTGCAGAAGCCATTCCCAAGCCCCGAGCCCCCCACACCGGAGGCACGGGGGCTGGGGGGAGGGGGAAGCAGGATCTACGGGGCAGGGTGCCCCTCGGTCAGCGCTGCGCCTGCGCCCTGCCAGGTAGTAGCTGGATCCCACATCCTGGCGGCTGGCACCCGCCACCACCCAACAAGGAGATTACCAGCCTAATCTCTGTGGCGCTAATGATTTAGGTGCTGCCAGGACACTGGCGTCTGCACGGGGCCTGTCTGCACGGGGAGCTCCCAGGGGTGGCCAGGGCCCGTGGGATGGGCGGGGAGGGGGGGTGAGCCTGGCTCCGCAGGCAGCTCGTGGGTGGCCTGGGCACGCTGCCACACACGGGGACAGGGAGGGAGTCGGGTTCTCTGTGAGGCTGGAGATGCTGCCATGAGACTAGACGATTGGAAAGACTTCGGCTTAGATGGTGGGTGGCCTCTCATGCAAAGGTGTCTCCTGGCTGGAAGGGTGGGGACAGCAGAAGCTGCCTGGGAGAGGAGGGGTGGACCCTGATCCCATCCTGCTCCCGCCCTGCCTAAGAAGTCTGGGGCTTCCGAGAGTTGCCAGCGGGTGGAGGGAAGGGTCTCAAAGCCACGGTCGAGCACCAAGGCTGTTCCCTGAGGTCAGATGTCAGGAGGGACTTCCTGGCACTCCAAGACTATTTTGAGGGAGGAGAGGGAACCAATAGACCCTGAGGTCGCCTGGGTGGGCCAGAGGCAGGCCTCGCCCAGCTGGTCACCCTCAGGGGATGTCCAGAAAGACCCTCCCCACCTGCTGCTAGAGCCGCACTCCCCTCCCCGGGAGCCCCTGGGCCCCAGGGGCTGACCTCCCCAACTTCCTCCCTCCTCCCTCCAGGCAGGGAGTGCCCACCTTCCGGCAAGAATCTGGAGCAGATGGGCGGGGGCTGGGGGACAGGCCACAAGGCACCAGCCCCCTTCAGTGTCTCTCCCCAGAGCCCACCCCACAGCCCCCAGACCTTAGCCTTGAGGCCCCGTTCGAAGGGCCAGAGAATCTGTCAACCTTCCTTCCTCCCCCCATCACCACCACCTGCCCCTCTCCAGCCTCCTCTCCCCTGATACCAGGTGGGGCGTGCCCAGGTCCAGGCCTCTGTTTTGCACACCCTCCCCCCACCCCACCCCCACCCCCCGCCAGGCCTGCCCCAGGAGGGATGCCCTTCTTCTGTTCTGTTTCCCCAGCCTCCCTCCTGAGGCCCCAGGCCTACCCCACCCAGTAACGATTTCTGTCTGGCTCAGGAGGAGGCTGGCCCCCTGCCCCCGGGGCTGGGGGAGACGTGAAACATTCCTGGGGCTCCTGGGAACCCCCTCCCTGTGGGGAGAGTCAGAAGCCAGGGGCCCCCAGTGGTTCTGTCACCAGGTGCTCCCTCCCTGGGGACAGGCAGACACAGCCACCTCCCTCTGACTGGTTTCCAGGCAGACGAGTCTGGGGTGGACCCAGGACAGAGGACCCAGACGCCTGCGGACACCTCAGCTCTCCCAGCAGAGCCAGGGCAGCGCCCGAGGCCCCTCCCCCAGAAGGGAGCCAGAGTGCCCCAGATGGGGCCCAGGGCAGGAGGAGAGGGCCAAGCAGGAAGGGAGGGCCAGAACGCATGGGGGACTCAAGGGCTGGAAAATCTTAGTTCAAGGTAATAATAGTTCATGAGCCTAGTAGTCAAAGCCTGTGAAAAGCTACCAGTTCAGGAGCTGCAGGAACGGCCCCCTTAGGAGACCACAGAGATGGACCTCCGCCCTCCACGAGGGAGAGACGGTGAACAGCCAAGGCTGCAGGCGAGCCTCCGTGTTCCCGGGAGAGACAGGCCCCGCCCAGGACACGGCTACGGAAGATCACGGGTCGGCGGATGGAAAGGTGTCAGGGAAACGGCCGGACCGCACCGCCGCCTGTATCTGATCACCTCTTTCCCGGGTCCCACAGCCCTCGCCCACACCTCTGCCCCCGCATAAAGAGGGTGGAAACGTCAGACGGCCAGTGAGGGTGCCAGCCCGCTGTCGTCTCAGATCGCAGGCCCTCTGGGTAAAGCGCCCATAAAGATTCCCTTCCCGTCTCCGCGCATCCGGTCTGGTAGCCACAGGCAGCAGGAAAGCCAGCTTCTCCGGTTTCGGAAACGGCGGGAAGGGCAGGGGTGGGGGGGCGGGGAAGTCGGGGAAGCGGATCCTGGCCCTGACACAGGTGGAAACCCTCGCTGCTGCCCCGGAGCTGGCAGAGCTGCCTCCTTCCGGCTGCCCTTCCTCCCTCGCCCCTTGCCCTCCTGCTTTGCCCTCCCCCACCCCCTTCCTGGGCCCGAGGGAGGTTCAGGGGAGGCCGCCTTTCAGGCCTGGGGGAGCCCCTGGCCCCTTCCGCCTTGCAGACCCCAGCCTCCCAGCGCCCCGGGGCCCTGTCCCACCCGCCCACCTCTCCCCCACCCTCTGTGACCCTCCAGGCTTGCTGCTCACTCCCATCCCCTCTCCTTGGTGCCTGCTTTTCAACGCTCTTGAGACATTTCCTCCAGGGGCAGGTGTGGCCTGGGCTCCCCAGGAGGGAAGCATTGTCTCTCCCCCCAGATCAGACACTCCCTCCAGGCGGCAGCTCTGTCTAACCCCCAGCCTGGGAGCCGGCTTGGGGCTGGGGGGGGCGGGGGGGGTGCGTCACCGCAGGGGAACCCCGGGGATATTGGGAGCATGGCCTGTCTCCGTCTTCCCTCACGTAACACAGCTGGCAGGAACGGGGTGCCCTCGGCTCATCTGCCGTGTGCTGACCGCCCAGGCCACCACCGTGTGCCCCTGCTGCCTGACCAACAAGGCAGGAGAAGGGCGGGGCGGTGCCGGAGGACGACCCCGGAGGGAGGGAGGGTCGGAGGAGGGAAGAGCAGGGGGCAGGACCAGGCAGGGAGGACTCTGGGAGGGAGGACGGCAGAGGGGCCTGCACACCCCCGGCTCTCGTCCCGAGGTCTACGCTAGGAAGGGAGGTCGTCCACCCTTTCCAAGGGCGAAACAGGAGGCCAGAGCAGCAGCGCGCCTGCGCAGAACCCCCGCCAGCTCCTCCCGTCAAGCCGCGCCTCCCCCCCTGAAACGGCCCCAGCCCACTGGCATGGGACAAGCTCCCTCTGCTGAGCTTCACGGCCCCCAAGTCCCTGCTGCCTCTGCCTCAGGACCAGGCCCTGGCGGCTTTTCATCCCACATTTCACACGCAAAGCACTTTCCCCAGCAAGGTTTGATGGGGAGAAACCACAGCTCCTAACCTTGACAACCCCCAGGGTCAGACCTAGGTCCCCATGATGACACACACACTCGCCAAGCCCATTCTAGCGCCAGTGAGCGCCAGCCACTCTCACGTGTGTTAGAATTACTGGAGGTGGATCTACTCCCCTTCGAGGATTATCATCCTTTGCTTTATCTCTGACCCACTACAAGGTCTAACTCAGTGCACTGTACACAGTAAGTGCCCAATTGATGCTCGCTACACGGACGCAGGCAGTGAGAGCCCAAAGCCCGATGTCATTCAACACCACCCACTGTACTCACTGGGCGGCAGTCGCGGGCCAGGCGCTGAGTCAGCCAAGCCCTGCCCAATGGACCGGAGGTGGGTGAGTGAGAGGCAGACACACAAACGTCAAATATCACGGCAGTGTTATTTGAGCGGCAATAAAGGGATGTATACACAAGCACCTGGGAAGGGCCGGAGGGCGCGACTCATTCAGACCGGACCTCTGGAGACGGTTTCGCAGGGAGGGACAGGAACGCTGGGTTGTGGAGCCAGGGCCGGGCTTTGCCAGGCAGGGAAGACCCAGCGGGAAATCGTGCAGGCCAGGGGGCGTGCCTGGCGTGTTGGGGACCACCGGCAGACGAGTGGGTGGGTCAGCACTCCCGGGGGAGGCAGTAGGAGTGCTGAGGAACATGGATCTCGTGAGGAACGACTTTGTTTCGCTACGAGCAGCTGAGCACGGGACTCCGTGCCGGACTCCATGCCGGACTCCGTGCCGGGCGCCGTCCCAGGCGCTGGGTAGGAGGAGACGAGTGTAGCAAACAGCATCTCTGCTCTCGTGGAGCAGATGTTCCCGCGGGAGAGATGGGCGATAATCAAAGCAGGGAACGATAGGTCCTCCAGGGAAATG